AGATCTAGGCTGCACCAAGAGTAACTGAGTAGATGATCTTAATGCTCTGGCAGGAACATACGATTTAAGGAGTTCCTTAAGGTAGCTTGGTGCTGTGTTGTTGGTAATTTTAAACGTAAGCAGCAGTATTTTAAATTGGATGCGGTATTTTATGGGTAGCCAATGCAGGTCAGCTAGAACAGGAGTGATACAGGCAAACTTCCCAGTTCTGGTCAGAATGCGTGCTGCAGCATTTTTTTAACTGTTTTTTATTCTGTCTTATGCTGTTGCTCTGACCGACCGTGAAGCACTTTGGTCAACTTTGTTGTATTATAATTCAATAATAATAATTATTATGCTATAGAAATAAATTTTAATTTCATTTGATTTCATTTTAGACATTAGGCATTTAAACACTGCTCCAGATTGTAGCATGTTAATAATTTCATTTGAAACTTCTGAGAAATCATTTCCGAAACATGTGTCTTGCTCTTCATGTGTGAATGAACCGGAGCAGCACCTGAAGTGTTTAAGATTGGAACAAGCAGTTTGGGCAATCATGCAGAAATCCAATTTATTCTTCAGAGCGAGGGGAGAGCACAAAAAGACCAAAGGCTAAACTGAGTATTGTGGTACAAATCCAGTCTAAACACACTTGTCCGTACTCCTTTTATACTGTAATTTGTGTTGTTGGCATTTCATCAGCAGCTAATAGAACAACAAGCTCTTTGCCACTCCATGAAGTCCCTTCTGAGCGCTCTGCCTGTGGCATGCTTCTTTGTAGTTACACTTCAGGATGTGTGTGGTGTCACTTTTTGTCACGCAGTGCTACAGACCCCCTGCTGCTGTGCACAGAGAGAGGATCTCCTGCTTTTGAAGCTTGAAATGGACGTCAGCCACAGCCGGGTAGATGAGAAGGCTGTTAAATAACTGAGGGAGCTCACAGACTAACCTGTTGGTCATTAAAGTTTCTCAAAGCCACATTAGAAGGTGTTTAATTCCTGACAGGCCAAGTGAGAACGTTTCTATCTGTAACTGTGATCACTAGCTCTGCTCTCCTTCACCCGATGCTCATACATTCATTTATAGCTACGCTTTTGGGTACACAGCTAGCACAATACTATCTGACAGTACTGAGACTGAGCAGATGCAAATGGGGGGAAAAAAGCTTTAAATGTTATTTAGAAAAATCCTGTGAGTGTGTCTGAAGGGTGGCTTGAGATCATTTGAGACAGGAGCAACAAAGTGAAGGTATACATCACTCTAATATCACTCAGCAAACACTCCAAACCAAAGCGCACACCTGTGTTTAAAGAAAACATTTTGGGAAATATGCCTCTTGCTAAGAGGTAGATGAGAAGAGTGACTCGACTCTCACATCTAAACGCTAATCTACCTGCCAACAGACTAAGCTGAGCATTAAAAACAGGATAACAGATATCAGTCTTATAACTTGAATCTAGCAAGAAAGCAAAATGTTTCCCAAAACATTTCGATTAGCTGAAAGCACCACACACACTGCAAACAAGAGCTGCGCACACTCTTTTTCCCGTACCAGCCTGATCCTCCACTCCTTTCCTGTGGTCTACGTGTTAGCGCATCTGTAGGACAGCGTCAAACAA